AAGGAGTTGTTACCTCAATATGAATGCAAAATGCTAACCAAAGAGAATTTAAGCCATTCAAATGTCATGAAGGGAAGTTAAAGAATTCAAGTGAATATCGATAAGTGCCTGCAAACAATAACATATGATGACTAAAGTTTCTATACGTCACTCATAAGCAATAATCAACATAAACCTACTACACATGTAATGGTTCACTTGCAAGCAACTACAAAAAGCTTATGGATATTTGTGGATAACTGTTAATGATAAAGAAAATTATTGAACATGCAATATTTAAAATTTTGCAAGTAAATACATCAAGCAATAAAAGAGTTTCAATGCATACAGGGAGTATCCATGAATGGAGCATGAAAAATATGTAATGAGCTGCAACGCACATCACATATCATGTAAGAACATGGCATGATGAATCTTCTATAAGCATGGAATGGAAGATTGTAGTTGTTATAAGAATCCCGTAGTCAATTTCAAACTATGGATAAATAGTAGTCAATTTCAAACTATGGATAATTGTGATATTATAATTTGCCCACAATTATTTGTAGAAGAATCATCATACACCATCCACGATCAAATACAGGAAGAACTATGGATAAATACGGATGTCTACCATTAATAATGAAAGATCTACAATATATAGGGGTTCTCTATGAATACAGATGTACATATTACATGCCACTTATGGGTAGACATAGGACTTCAATAAATGCAGTATCCCGTAGTCAATTTCAAACTATGGATGAATACATCTACTTACCTATGGGAAGTAGTGGTGGAGGTACTATAAATATCAAAGATCTTAGCACAATTGAGGTACCTACTAGTTGTTATAGTAAAAACATAATAACACTTTCATAGTTAACAAATTATATAATATCAGTCGAATGTACTAGCTCCCTACAAGCAAGATCAAGTGATATGTAACGAAGTGTAAATATCTACGGGGTTGCAGAAGACTCACCATATATGAGCAAGGGCATCTACTAACAAGCATAAAAGTCTATAATGAATGACATAATATTTCATGATCAACGTTAATATATTAGCAAATGCAAATACTTGCAGGCCCTTGTAGAAGACCTACTACATACACTGCATATCAGTTATGAGAAAATATCGAAGCCCTATAACGTAGGACTCCTACAAACTATTGAAGAAGATCTATAGACATCAATATACCATCCACATGCAAATACTGAAAGGACCGTGACAAAGATAAACTTTTACGAGTCGCCGTAGAAGATCTGTCAAATATTTCAAAGTATCCTCGCACATGCACTGTAATATGTATGCACATAGGTACACAGAAGGGCATGTGCAATCACATAACCCGCATGGGCCCCAGTGATCATGTTGTCGTAATGCATGTGATATCTAGGGATGCTGTGTTGAACTTGATGCTCTTAAGTAAATAAACATAAGTAGATAAGGTTCAATAAATAATTATAAAATGCCCCCAAACACATGCATGGGCCCCAAAAAATGTGTCATAGGAACACACATGACGTCTAGAGATGCTGTGCTGCTCCACTAGTGAATGTAGTTTGAGCCCAATCATTCTATATGAGTAGATAGGAGTTGACACAACTCGAACTATGAAACATATATACGATCAAGGTGTTGATCGAAATATAAATTTTATACGTTCATATAAGGCTTTTAAGACCTTTAAAAAAGAAAATTCATTAACAAAATCGCAAAGCTAACAACAAACTTGATCCCTTATCGGCAAGTTGATAGGGTCGACAAGGTTTAGTTAATGAATGACCCAATTACCCCAATGATGATCGTGTTGAATGTAAATCTCAACCGATGGAATTCACAAATATTTTCAAATGCCATCCAAAATTAAAAAAATCCATTATATTTAAAATTAAAATTAAAGAATCAACCAGTTAAAGTAAATCCATCCATTCTCTGTAATAGTTTGTTAGGGTGGATAAATTTATATTTACTTCAGCTCATATGGAGCAAATGCTTGGTCAAAAATATCATTATGATCTAATCTCAAATAATCTTCTACCAGTAAGGGCGTGGTACATGTCCTTTAACTAGCAGTTTTGCCGCCAAATGTCATCATAGGATAAACGGTTATGATCAGAGACCCTCTGAACTGAGTAGATTTTGCCGCCAAATGGAACCACAAGATACCGATTATGGACAGAGCCAATACATTCCTTAGTGGCATCCAATCCTTGAGATATGAATCAATATGATACAAATGATAGAGCACAAAGCCCTATCTTATCTAAGGTGAATTCAAATTTGTCCCTCTAGACAAACATCCCCCCAAGTCTACAAGGTACCCTTGGACGAAGCAACCCATGGCTACCAATAAGGATCGTTTTGTCAGGTTGGGTTGACTAACTCCTCTAACAAACTAGAGTAGAGACCATGATGGCCCGGGTTGATAGAAACATGAGATCTTGATCTGGTCCATCATCCATTCCCCACCATTCACTTTAAGTGCAAGATGGTGAAATTTTTAATTTTAAATATCAAATCTTTCAAATACCCAAACTCATGCTGCTACTATACACTTGAAACTATATATCTATAGATATAACGTAGCTGATTGATGATTAGCCTTAATCGAAAGTTCTCTCTTGTGATTGGGAAACCAAAACTCAGATCATAACTGTAGGGGCTTGCACATATAGGAAACCAAAACTCAGATCATAAAGTCCTCGCAAAATGAGGGAAAAATCTCTATGAGTGTCTTATCTACAAACCCATCTGCCTTCCAAAATTTACCCTGGAACTTAATTCCGTTAAAACTCCCTAAAAAAAAAAGAATAGCGGGCGGATGCTAGAGCCGAATTTTTGGAGCCCATATGTGTCACGACCCGACCCGATCCGGGATGAATCCCGATGATTGCATTTTTTTCTTGTCCGGAGGCTCTTATCATAGGATTTTCACCCTTTCATGAAAAAATATAAAAATCATATAGTGAGCACATAGCCCAATAAGTAATTAAAATCTTACAACTAAAACCAATGCAAGATAAAAGAGAATAATATGCTATACATTATATAAAAAATATGCATCAATGTCTATATTGTGTATCAATTTATCTTTCTATAGTTCATCACATCTCAATCAATTACATCATCAGTCACAGTAACAAAAAAAATCAACATTAATACTAATCAATAATGTTAAATAGTGATAATGATAGAAAATAATACCAGTTACAATATCAGTACTGCATTCATACCAGTGTCGGTATTAATATTTGGATATTTAATGAGTGAGTTGTGAGTTGGCAGGTGAGTGTGCTATGGGCTGAAAGGATCTTTATAAAGGTTCCTTGTCAAGTTCTTGATAAAGAAAAGCATTTTTTTTCTTCACATTGATTTGTCAACATAATAGGAGCTAATGGCCTCTTTGCAACTATAATGTATATTCCAGTGTAATTCTCTTCATACTTCTGAGAAAAAAATTACTAAGTGATCGACCATATTTTTAGCCCATAAATACTGCATCATCATGGAATATCATCATCATCATTAGCATTCATAAACTTCAAATTAGGGATCATTATTAAACTTTGGCATTAGTTTATAGATTATTTTTCAACATGCATGCACTCGTCTCCACAAATCAATATATAAGGTATTACAACTTAGAAGCATAAAATTAATGACATAAGTACCCTCGTTCCTTCAGCCCAAAATACATTCAAAAAATATTTTAATATGACTAAGTTTTGCCAGAGTTACTGACTTCGTTTGGAATAGCTTGATTACTATTTTTAAAAATATTTTTTTGGTACAAAAATTTCTAGTTCTAAATTTTTTTACTAAAATGCTACTTTAAAACCATTAAAAATAAATTTAATTTAAAAATATAAAGAATATTGATTTTTTTCTCTCAAAGAAAATGACAATATGTTGATGAAAACCAAACAAAATTCTTAACTATTTGAATGTTTTGTAGAGTAAACCTCTGCTTAAACTATAAATTAAGATATATATATATATATACAGCCTCGCCTTCTTGATAATAATCTTTGTTTGGCCAACTTAGACTTTTTTGGGACAATTTTCTTACTATTTTTAAAAACAATTTTTAGTAAAAAAATAAAAAAATTTTATACTAAAAAACTGCTTTAAGAAGTAGTAATAAAAACGTCAGAAACAAAACCTTAATCTATCTTTATATTTTTTAATTTTTCAAATTACTATTTCTATATTTTTTCGCACAATTCTAGATAAAATTCTGGTGCTAAAGAATATTGCTACCATTTTGTCTATTTTTAGATTTTCTATTGTAATTTGACGTATATGTAGATCATGTTGCGGCCTGTTGATCGGCGGAAGTAGTTCCTCTCAGAGATCCGTGCTCGAATCTCCTAATTTACCAAAAAAAATATTATTTTTTTGGCATACATGCATGTGCTTGACATGATAGTAATTAATATATACTATTTATATAAAGATGCATGATAAAAAAAGAAGTATAAGATTAAACACAAGTTGTGATGTATGAAACATAAATTGTAAAGGAATCTCCCTCTCCATAACTATTTATAGGCTTAGTACATTTCCACATATCAAAAGGCATAGATTAGTTGGGATATACATGAAAGCATCATTTATTGCTAATGAAATTATACATATATTTATATCCTCATTAATTTCTATAAATAACTGAAGGATTACAGCAACAAACAACTTGACTCCCATAACTACATAAGAAGAATTAGAGACTGAGAAGAAAGAAAGAAGACTATAAGAGGAAATTCATACAACCCACCCTCTCTCTGACGAGAAATTATTGTGTGTGGAATCTGAACGTGTTCGGAGGATAATCCTGGCATGCCACATCACCGGTGCCCAGTGCATCCGATGATGCGACGCATCCGGATTCGTTTCCGAATGCATTCAGATTCCACACACAATAATTTCTGTCCCTCTCCAACAGCACAGTATATTGACATGAACATGATAAAATAAAGTGTTCTCCATGTGAGGATAGAATACAAGCAAACTTAATAACTTCAAGTAATTAAACTTTCTCATACTAGGCTCATCTCATTGTTGGTGACCTGTGGCTTGGCCTCTACTTCGGCATCGACGTGTTCGCATGGTCCAAGCTTCGAGATTTCAAGCATATTCTCTGGCAGTTTATTACCCTCTGCTAAGCTTGCAGGAACTTTGCTGTCCTTGTAGATGATATAGACCACCATTTGAACCGCCCCAAATATGAATCCTAATATATTTGGGAGCTACATATACACAAATATTTGTATACCATGCACATTTTAACATAGTTAGTATCAAGGCTTTAACATCAATATTAATGATTTAAATTTATAATGAATGTAATCAAATAATAATTACCGCAACATAGATGTCTTTGGAGAAAAGGCCAAAGGAGAACCACACCACTGCGCTCAACGTGAGAAAGAATGAGAGGGAGAATGGCATGAACTCTACACTCTTGGTTTGAATGACCAACCTCTGCATGATGTTTCAAATTAATTAGTTAAACTTATAATTCAAAGTAAATTAAGTGTTTAAGGTTACAAAATTTTATGCATTAATTACGCTTTTCATGACATACAATTATGCTTAAAGGAGCAACAAAGACGCTGACGGAGAAAGCAACGCAAATCCAACCAAGAACTTTGAGTCGAATGGTGGCCTTAGAGACAAGCATAGTGCTGAGAACTATCAAAGAAAATAGTCCAATGTTTAAGAGTGAGAACATCTTAAAGGTGTGCACCTGCATACAATAATAATAACAATTAATCAAATAAATTTAATGAAGTAGATATATTATTGAACTGAGAAGAGTATCTAACATGATTATTATTGAAACTAGCTAGTTATTAATTAGTTAGTATTTTGATATTTAAGTATAAACAAAATATTTAAATGATAGAGAAAAGTATATACCTTTGCCTTCTTAGGGGCATAGAGGAGATACATGATGATATATATGGTTTCAACGACACAGCCAAAGGAGTTGATGGTGATGAGAAGAAGCGCATCGTGGCCTTTGATGAATGCATAAAAGATCCAAAGCATGGAGCTGAATAATGCAACAACGTATGGAAGAGATTGAAATCCTTCAGTGGATTTCTTCTTATAAACACGATAGAATGTTGTCCTGCAATAAATCATATTTGTAACATGTTAATTTATATAATAGTAAAATATTCACTATTGAAGGGTTTGAAATGGAAAAGAAATTCTTACAGTGGAGCAAGGTAGACCATGAATGAGATAACATTTCCTGTAAACAAATTCATCAGTAAATGTTATATGTAAAAAACTAAAATAAAATTTTCTTTGGTCAGTGAAGTAGAAGAGAAAGAGAGGAAGAAAACTATTGGATCAAATTTTACAAAACTTTCATCATCTTCTGGTTTCCTCTCCTAATCACTGAGAATGGTTTGACGGGCTAGGAAGGAAAAAGGAATGAGAGGAAGCTAATCGATCATGGTGATCATATATACCTAATATGCCAAAGGTAAAAGCCCAAGGATGTTCTAAAGACAAGCCTCCAGCCATTTTCGAGGACGAAGATGGATTGCAAAAAGAGAAAGGACTCCTTATTTGCTCCCTCTTCTCCCCTCCCCGTTCCCAAAGCTTGCTTAGCTAAGTAATTGGAAGAAGAACAAACTAACTTGGATTGCACCTACATTTGAAGATGCACACCTTATATATAGGAGAGTAAAGATAGTGCTTTGTGGACCATACTGGCTTGGTGGCATGGCACAGATCTTCCACCAAGCATGCCTAAGGAAAAACAAAAATGGTTTTAAATATTTCTTTTCTTAGAATGTTAATTTGATTAAAAATATGTGCATAAATTAGAGTTATTTTGTCTTTAATTCCATATAATGGAAGCTTCATGCGTTCATCTGTCTTAATATAAACACACGCAACTTTTAAAATGGAATACAGATAGCTTTATTGGTGCTTCACAATTATTGAACTTTATCTAAAAGTAAATTAGCTTGATTAACAAGAAATTTGTGAAGTTATTAATTGGAATATTTTTTTTTCTCACGTTAATGGTTGCCAGATATTTGATGTGGCATATAAACATACGTTACATGCTGTGAGCAAGAAGAGACGAAGAGAGGATGGAGAACGAGACAGAGAAGAATGTAAAGAAAGAGTAATTTCAATAATTAGAAAAGTTAACAAAGGTCTCTATTAATAGACCTGATACAGGGTAAATAAGTAATAACAAACATAAAGAGTTCTAATATGACCGTTACATGCTAATAGCCTCCCTCAAGTTAAGCGGTCGTTGACCGAGTGGTTAACTTGTTTCGTAGTTCGTTAAATCGAGCGATCGAGAATGATTTGGTGAGGATGTACGCAATCTGATCTTTGGAGGAGATGTGTGCCAGCTGAATATTGCCGGAGGTGATTTGCTGACGAATAAAATGGTAGTCAATCTCGATATGTTTTGTTCTGGCGTGAAACACCGGGTTCTTGGCAATAGCCATTGCCGAGGTGTTGTCACAGTATATTGTAGTTGGGGAGGATTGATGCATGTCCAGTTCGGCCGCGAGACGTCGAAGCCAAAGCACATTCGATGCGGCAGTGGAGAGGGATCTGTACTCTGCTTCGGTGGAAGACTTGGCGACAGTGGCCTGCTTTTTAATAGTCCAAGAAATGAGATTAGGTCTGAGAAATGTGCAGAAACCCGAGACAGATTTTCGGTCAGTAGTATCTGACGCCCAGTCGGCGTCGGAGAAGCTCCGTAGTTCAAGTGTTCCATTTGTGATAGGCAGTCCGAAGGAGGTAGTCCCCTTGATGTATCTGAGTATGCGAGTCACGGCTTTGAAATTGTGTTCGGTGGGGGACTGCATGTGTTGGCAGATGCGGTTGGTGGCGAAGGCAATGTCTGGCCTCGTGATGGAGAGGTATTGTAACGATCCGGCTAGACGCCGATAGAGCGATGGATCGTTGAAAGGTTGGAGGTTGGGCTCTTTCTTCTTCTTGTCGGGAGTGATTGGTGTTGGGGCTGATTTGCAATCCTTGTACCCTGCGTCATTGAGAAGTTTCGTAGCATAGTGTTCTTGGGATAAAAAGAAACCAGTGGGAGAGCGAGTCACCTGAATTCCGAGGAAGAGGGAGATATTTCCAAGTTGTTTGAGAGCGAACTGTGCGCATAGGTGTTTGAGTAGGGATTGGATGGCGGCGTCGTTATTCCCTGTCACCAAAAAATCATCAACATAGATTAGAATGTAAAGACGAATGTTGTTTTTGTGGTAGATGAGAAGAGATGGGTCGGAACGACTGAACCCGAAGCCTTGGTGTTTGAGGAAGTCGGTGAGTTTTTGGAACCATTGCCGCGGTGCTTGTTTGAGTCCGTAGAGGGATTTTTGAAGTTTGCAGACCGCTTGAGGTTGTGTCGTATCGGTGAAGCCTGGAGGTTGCCTTATGTATATGTCGTCGGGCAAGTCACCGTGAAGGAAGGCGTTGGTGATATCGAGCTGGTAGACGGGCCAATTACGATGAAGAGACAGTATGAGTAGCAGATGGATGGTGGGCATCTTCGCAACGGGGCTGAAGGTTTCATTGTAGTTGACGCCAAATTGTTGATCATACCCGAGAGCTACGAGCCGGGCTTTGTAGCGTTCGATGTGCCCGTTGGGAAGAGTCTTGATCTTGTATGTCCATTTGCAGCCGAGAATGGGTTTGTTGGAAGGAGGAGTGACGAGGGTCCAGGTTGATTGTTGTTGGAGAGCATCAAATTCAGCTTGCATTGCTGACCGCCAGTGATCGGATTTTAGAGCTTGACGGTAATTGCTGGGAAGCTCCATTGGTGTAAGTTGGGTAAGGAGATTGAACACGGTTTTTGGTTTGGTGATCCCAGACTTGAGCCGAGTTTGCATTGGGTGAGTTGGGGCGATGGGATTGGTAATGAACGTGTGCGGGAATTGGTTAGGCGAAGGAGGAGAGGTATTGGGATTAGCAGAAAGTGAATCCAGAGAAGAGTGAGTGTGAGACGACGTGTAGGGAGTCAGAATAAGAGGAGGAATACGGGAATGGTTGGAATGGGTAGTAGTTGGGTTGATAGTATGCGGGAGTTTGAACGGATAATGTTGTTCATAGAAAGTGACATGGCGAGATATGTAGGTGCGTCCAGTGTTAGTGTCATGACAGAGATAACCCTTGTGATGAGGAGAATATCCAGTGAAAATGCAAGGGTAAGATCGTGTTGATAATTTGTCTGTGGAGTACGGTTTCAGCCACGGGTAGCAGAGGCATCCGAAGGCGCGCAAGTGAGTATAGATTGGCGGGTGACCGTGCAGCAGTTGGTACGGGATCTTGTTGGCGATAAACTTAGATGGGAGTCTGTTAATTAGATAATGGGCAGTGGATAGGGCGGAGGTCCAGAATTTGTGAGGTAGCCCGAATTCGATTAGAAGAGCGCGAGTGAGGTCCAGAAGGTGACGATGTTTTCGTTCTGCAAGACCATTTTGCTTGGGTGTGTGAGGAAATGTGAGTTGTTGAAGAATGCCATTTGTTTGGAGATAGAGATGAAATTCCCTGCTAGTGTATTCTCCTCCGCCATCCGAGCGAATGATTTTTGGAGTTTTGTTGAATTGAGTTTTGGCAAGATGATAGAAGTTTTTAAAAGTGTTAAGAACTTCATTTTTAGATTGTAAAAGGTATAGCCAAGAGAATCTAGTGTAGTCGTCGATAAAGGTAACATAGTAACGGTGACCTTTCGGTGATGGGTGCGGAGCGGGACCCAGACATCGGTGTGAATGAGATCGAAAGCATTATGAGTAACTGACGATCTTTTATTAAAGAAAATTTTGTGGCTTTTAGACTGGTTACAAGAATTGCAAACAAAATTGCTAGGTACAGTTGTAATTTCGGGAAAGAACCGAGCAAGAACTTGAATGGTTTCCTTGCTGGGATGTCTAATGCGGGAATGCCAAACGTGAGGCGAGGAGGTGGTTGCAGCGAGCACCGTGTGCTTATCTTCCGGAGCTTTGCTAATATGGTACAGACCGTTCCGAAGGTGACCATGAAGCAGCGGACGGTGGTCCTGAAGGTCCTTGATAACAAAGCCGTTAGAGTCAAATGAAATAGAAATGAAGTTGTCGGAAGTGAGTTTGGAGACTGAAAGAAGGTTGTGGGTGAGAGATGGTACATGAAGGAGATTGGAGAGGTGCAACTTACGGGTAGAGTCGGGTAAGGGAAGAGGCCTTGTCCAGCGCTGTTGATGGGGAGAGAGTTTCCGTTAGCGGTAGAGATTGCTTCGGCACCGTAATAAGTAGTTGGATATTGAAGATGGTTGGTATCCGGCGTGAGGTGAGTAGAGGCACCTGAGTCAAGAATCCAGTCTTGACTAACTTGAGCGGTCGGATTGGCATAAAGAGCCCGCGGTTGACGAGTGTCGGTGGGAGCATATTTGGGATTGTTACGGTGCCAACAATTGAGCGCGATGTGACCTGGTTTGCCGCAAATCTGGCAGACGGGTTTGGGACCGGACTGCGGAGCTGGAGCGTTGGTTGGGTAGGCCGAGATGGAAGGAGTTGTCGTCTGGTTCTTGGGCTTGGTGAAGCGACGATTGTTGTTGTTGCGATTTCGTGTGGAGTTAGCCGAGGATGCATACAGAGCGGTGGGCTGGGTTAGATCTTTGTGATTTTCTTGCTGAAGATGTATTTCTTCATTGCAGAGAAGAGCGTAAAAGGTGTCAAGATCGATAGGAGATAGCGAATTACGTATTGTGGACTTGAACAGGTTGTAGGAAGGCGGAAGACCGTTGAGAATGTGAAGCATGATATCTTCGGATTCAATCTTGGAACCGGACGCAGAGATGTTTTCCACAAGGATCTTGATGCGAGTAAGATACTGTTGTACCGTGAGGTCCTTCATTTGAGTGCGATATAGCTCGTTCTTGAGCTGAATCACGCGGAAGCGGCTGGTCGGTTGAAGGCGCCGCTCAAGAACAGCCCAGGCCTCGTGGGCGGTGGAAGAAGAGATGATATAAGGTAGAATAGTTTGAGAAACGGTGCAGAAAAGGGCTGAAAGAAGGTTGTTGTCCAAGACCAGCCACTGGGCATAATCAGCGGAGGTGTTGTCAAGAGGAGCCTGAACAGTGTCGAGAAGGTGACCGGCAAAATCATTCGCGGTGAATTGTTTGAGGATTTGAACGCTCCATAGATGGTAGTTTTCGGGTGTAAGAGGATGAGGAGCGAGGTTCTTGATGTTGGATACTAGGAATTTTAGATTGGGCGGAATGCTAGTTGTCATACCGGTGCTGTTGGTGTTGGTGGAGGCGGTGGAGGAGGAGGCGGGATTGGGCGAGTCCATGGAATCTTGATCTTCCTTAGTGGCTCATGATACCATGTGAGCAAGAAGAGACGAAGAGAGGATGGAGAACGAGACAGAGAAGAATGTAAAGAAAGAGTAATTTCATTAATTAGAAAAGTTAACAAAGGTCTCTATTAATAGACCTGATACAGGGTAAATAAGTAATAACAAACATAAAGAGTTCTAATATGACCGTTACATGCTAATACATGCAACTATGAGTTCTTCTATCAAGAGTATAAAGTATTAATGGCAAAATGCCAAGGTGCGTGTTGGCTTATGCGTGACCAACTTGGCTTAGCACATATCAAATTTTAAAAATGAGTT